GTAGTAGTGATAGTTTTAGAACTAGTATTAACATCATCAGAAGAAGTAGTAGTAACAGTTGCAGTAGTAGGAATAGCTGTAGCTCTCGTATCTGTAGATGTAGTAGTTTTACTAGCTGTAGAAACGGTAATATCTAAACTGAAGTATTTGACCCCAGAGGAGGTTTCTGAAGAATTTGAAACATGTAGGACTTTCAGCTGCTGTTGCGCATGTGTGTGGATGAGTGAGTGTGTGCGTGTGTGTGTGTGTGCGCGCGTAAGAGACATAAAAGGTGTGGTGGCTCGACTGACGAGTTTATACAAGCCACCATCCACAGTATGCATACCCTGGGGGAAAACACACACACATAGACACGCCCTTTAATACACACGCACGCACACACACACACACACACACATGGCGTGCGTAGCCATGGGGAAACACAGTCACACATCTGCATTAACAGCAGCCACACTTGGCCTCTGTGTTTTTGACGACAGGAAGTGGAAACTCAAACCAAACCTCATTCACACTTTGTTCAGTTCTCAGTTGGACTGTAGTCTGACAAGAACTGGGACAAACTGCAGTCCAGAACCGTTCTACATAAAGGGTCCGGTTCACAACATGTTGGTCACACGTCTGAAAAAAAACACCAGATTCAGTTTTTATCCTAAGCGTCGTTTAATGAAGCGTTTCTCTCCAGTCTGAACGTCACGTTAGCAGAAAGGCTGCGGCACTTCCTCACAGCAGGAACATGAGAGCTGAACCCTGTTACAGAGATATGAGTCACTGCCACACACTTGATATAAAATTTAACAAACACGTAGATGCATCGCTTTTATGTGTGGATGATCTAAAGCTCTACGTTTTAGTTGCCTTCTTTACTGAAATGCACTCAGGCTCCGTCCACACTACTGCGTTTTAAAACAGAGACCTTTTGCTATGTTTGTACCTCCATTCCAGACTAAAACGGTGAAAACAAAGACCTAAAATGAAGAAAACGCTGCCGACCCCGTTTTGCGTTTCAAAACTCCAGGTAAAAAACGAAGGACTTTAGAAACGATGACGCAGATGCCCACGCCTGGCTCTCTGAATGGGTCTTAAAAGTCATGCAAAGCAGAAACACGATGCTACTGACAGAGTTTTAGTGTTGGTATTTTAATTAAAATATTTTGTACCATGCAAATGACACTTACAGCCTATAAGTGTGCATGTCGCCGTAATTCCCAGTCTGTTTTCCACCGCCATAGCTGCGTTTAACTCCTGTGTTACAGTAACAGTCCCACATCGTTGTTGGTCCATGCAAAATAAAATCTGGTCTGGTTCTTCTTTTATTCTTTTGCCAAATCTTCTGTAACCACGGAATAGACCATCTGCTTCACGTTTACACCGGCACCCTCAGGGTACGTGAACGGCCAATAGATGTGTGTTTTCAGTCACTTTAATGTAGACGGAGATCATTTCTATGATACGCAGCTAAAACGCTGCTGTGGACTGAGATTGTATTCGTTTTAAAAATAAAACGGAGTAGTGTGGACGGGGCCTTAAACATTTGATCTGAAGATCAGGTGAGGATGCCACTTGATTCAGAGGCACTCTGCTAAGCTACGCTAGTTAGCTTTTAGCTGGACTAGTTAAACTGGTGCGAGAGTCTAATTAATCTGGTTTAACAAGTGAAAGTGTTACTTTCTCTCCTGAAATGAATATAGTCAGAGTTAGTTAGTCTGGTTTGACGGGTCGGGGCTGGTGTGGTGGCTAAAGGGAGACCAGCATCAAGGTGGTCTTAATGTTCTGGCTGATCAAGCTGAGTAAACGAGTGGAGAAACTTGAAATGCTGGTGCTTCCTGCTCCAGGGTCAATGTGGTGAATAAAATGCTGAGGCTTTATTTCAGCCCAGTTTCACTCCTGTGGATGAGACAATGCTCTGCAGCCACCCCGGCTCTCTGTGTGCACGGAGGCTAACGGTTTCCCCCTGCTGCCACTGTTTGTGCTAAGCTAGGCTAAACGTGTCTCGGCCCCCCAACATGGCTGCCGGTCGTAGTCACGTTCCCACAGCGGGCGAACAGTTCAGCTGCCATTTATGGAGCCAGAAGCAGAACGACAGCAGAGGAAGTGCTGAATGTCACACACACACTTCCTCAGCAACTGAACTCGTTTTCTGAGTCAAGTCGAAAGGAGTCGGGCGAGCGAAGAAGAGGAAGTGGTGTCTTTGCTGCAGCTTGAAGGAATGTGAAGTGCGTTTCCTTATAAGGCGAGGCTGAGCGTGAAGCTGTGATAAAAACACGCACACACATGATACTGCATACAAACAGTGTTTGATAATGAGATTCACTCACGCTGTTATCTTTTAATGGGAACCAGAGACTTCACACCACAGAGACGCTGGTTCTTTAAGCGGCCCACACCTACTTCCTGTCACAAACCTCTACTTCCTGTACACAGGACTACGCATGACACACAAACACATTAACACACACACACACGTACATCCTCTCTGCACACGTTACCTGCACCTGTACTCAGGCGTCCACAGAGGGGCACGAAACAAGTTCCTGCTTTACCTTCTGAATAATTTCATTCCAAACGTCCGTGTTCCTGGTTTCAGGCCTTTCAGCCTCGTGAACCAGTGTTTGTGTTAAAGGGAAACTCAGAGCTGCAGATATCCTGACATCCACCGCAGAAACACAGGGGCCTACATTTCCCACAGTGCACCTGCACAGGGCTACACAGCCCCTCCAGTGACACGGTCTGATGACTGATAAAGTCTGTCTGACCCCACTTCTAAGGACCCAGTCTCCACCCCGAACCCTGAACCACGAACCCTGAAACCTAGAGCCTAAAGCCTGAATCTGGCACCCAGAACCCTAAACCCTGAAAACCAAAGCCTAAAGCCTGAACCCTAAACCCTAAAGCCTGAACCCGGAACCATGAACCCTAAACCCTGAAACCCTAAAGCCTGAACCTGGAACCCAGATTTCTAAACCCTGACAGACTCAACTGACGCCACCTGGTAAGTGCTGGAGTACGACTGGCTGTAAGGGCCCGACACGGTTTAATGGGACATTAAATCACGTTACTTTGACACACCTGAAGGTTCAGGACTTTTTATTTCTCTGTGTTTACTTTCTTCAGAGCCGAGAGGTCATTTTAAAATAATCAGTTTAGTCTTTTTAATAAAAAAACACTTAGATGTAAAGTTCTTTTTTCTTGTAGCTGCTCCGTCCATGTTTGTTTGTTTACCTTTTTCCAGGCTTCCCCTGGTGACCCCGTGTTTAACGTCACAATGCTATGAACTGTGGGTAATTCCCTCAGGCAAAGTCTGCACTCACCTGGAACGAGATTAAGGTTCAGCCAAACTCACTGTCAAGCTCTGCTGCAGGAACACTACATGGCCAAAAGTCTGTGGACGCCTGCGGTTTCAACACAACATTTATTCCTTTAATTATCAGTTCATGGTGTTTTTACATACTAAAAACCCCTGAAGTGCAAATCATCAAACCGAGTACATTTAGAGGTGTTAGTTTCATGTCAGCTTCTCGATGTCCACAGTAACAACAGGCTTTTGTTTTCTGCAGCAGCTCTTTGGTTCACTTATTAATGTGGTATAATAAATTAGGGGTTATTTTTTGGCATCTTAAAATGTGCAAAACAGCAACAAAGCTGCTCCTGAATTAAAAAAACAGAACTCTTTAATGTAGAAATGCAGAGAGTCTAAATACGACCTTAATATATTAATTTCATCTATAAATGATCCTCCTAATGTCCCATTAATAACAACAGTAGAGGTTAATCCTCATTAATGGGTAAGTTAAAGGTAAACACATGTGAGGACATTATCACAGGGACAAAGACTCCTTTGGCCTCTGAGCTGCCCCCTGCTGGACTGACGAAGCTACAACATCTGGATCAAACCGACCAGCTGCTGCTTGACTGCAGGAACCAACGTTTGTTCAACAACAGTAAATATTATTAACTGACTGTCTGAGGGTTTGTTAACATTATTAATAAAGCAGATACTGCTGTCAGCTGTTTTATTACTGGAACATGTTGATTCATCAGCTGATCCTTCTGACGACGTCTGCTGTTTCTCATGTGAAGACGTGTTTCTCTAATGTTTCATTAAAATAATGGTGAAAGAATGAATCTGTATTTGCGCAGCGTAGCTTAAAGCTTCTTCTTCAGAACTGCAACAGATTATATATTAAACTCTATATAACCATAACTACACTTAAACAAAGTTTATCAAAGCTGAGAGAACTTGTTGTGGTTGTAGAAAAAGGATCATATATTTGTTTTTTTTTCTGAAGAGTTGTTTTCTGGTTTATTTGCTCTCAGACTTTGTGTTCATTAATATTCAGAGCTCCTAAAACACCTGACGCTCCTCATTAACAACCCAGACAGACGAGATCTAAAGGCGCGCAGAAAAAATCAGACATTTCCTGAAAAAAGTCAAAATATAACAACATTTCTTAACATTTTAATTATGAGTAAAAGATGTACTAACAGAATAAGGTTACTATATTTTAAATTAAAGTAAATAAAATTAAATAAAAAATATTTTGGAAATATATAAACATAAATATACAAACAGGAGATTCCCAGAATAAGGTTAAAATATAAAACTATATAATTTGTTATTGATTTTGAGATAAATAAGAATTACAATAATTTAGGAAAAATCCTAATATGGATTTTTAGTTTTATATTTTTGAAGCACAAAATCATATTTTGAGAAAACAAAATATAATAATTGAAAGTAAATAAGTAAAAAACTAATTTGGAAATTAATATAACAGATTTCCATAGCAAGGTTTAAATATAACATTTCTTTAGATTTTGAGAAAAAAAGTTATAAAAATTATAATTATAATAAAGAAAAAAGTCATTCTTATTGAAAATTATTGAAAATAAAGCAAATAATGATAGTAAATAAATAAATATCCTACTTTGGAAATACAGATTTAATATTTTTGAAGCACGATAATCGTAATGTTGTAAGTTACAATAACAAACAAACAAAC